GCACTGGGTAGCAGCCGTCGCGCGTGGAGCCTGGCCTGTCTTCTGGAGGCTGCCTGAGCGCTTCCACTCACACCCTCTTCCTGGAGGCGCGGGGAGGGCAGGGTCACACCGGTCCAGCCAGTCCACTTCCCGCTGCTCCCCATACTTCCCCAAGCACGCAGGGGGGAGGGAGGGCAGCTATGACTGGCATCTCATGTGCTACGCCCGAGCCCAGATGTGTGTTCCTGGGTGATCTGTGGGCTCTTAGCACAGAAGAGACTTTTCCAGCGGCCGCCATGTCACCAAGAACGACAAGGAGCACTGAGTTTTCAGAAAAAGGCAGAGGCAGGCGGGGGCTACTCTTTCTCCCAGGAGGTCTCCTCGCCTTCCCCTCGCCCCCGCCCCTCGGTTTGGCTGTGCGGCATGTCCTCTCGAGGATATCACCTGCCTCGTAGTGTCAGCAGGTTGGAGAGGCGAGCAAGGCGTGTTTTTTGTGTTCAGGGCGGTAAAATGGCCCACAGGCCTCCGAGCCGAGGGTAATCACAGTGAAACTGAACACTCAAGTAGAAAACGGTGTCCGCCCACAGGAACTGCCGCGCGCCAACTGCTGCGATGCAGGTTAGGTGTGGAATCGCTGCTGGGGTCAGCCTCTGGCTTCCACGAGCTCGTGATTCAGTAATAACTGGAAGCACAATTGCTTTTTCACTCACTATTTTTTAACGGTTTATTCATAAAGCAATTTTTCACTTTTCACTTATTTTCAACCCCTTTCACATCTACTCACAGTTTCTGTCTTGGCTTAACTTTTCCCTCTCTCCTCCTCCCTCTCTCAGTTTAATTTTTCTTTATTCCCTTTTTAAAACTTTGAACCGTTAAAACAGTATCGGGGGCCTTGACTGCTTTGCTAACTGAAATGTTTCCCTTTCAACGTCTTCTGAGGTTCTCTTTGTTGGGTTCTCATTCTCTTCTTTAGTTAGCTGCCGGTATGTTCGTCCCCTTTCCTTTTTGTGGCAATAAACTTAAATCTTTCTCAGTCATCTTACAAGTAGGACTTTGCTTAAAAAAAAAGAAAAAAGAAAAAAAAAAGACGAAGAAGAAAAAACAAAAACCCACTAAACTAAACATCCTAGAATTCATGGTACTTAAGTCAAACAGAGGTTTGATTTAAGCACAACCCATTATTTCCATTAAGAGAATCTTGATTCCTTTCAGATGAGCATATTAATTCCTGAGGAAAGTTCATGGTTCTCACAAATTAGCGGGACCTTTGTGAGCCCACTCTCTTTCGCCAGAAGAAGCCACAACAGTTGTTTCCATACGGGCCTGCTCCTATTTCCATTTTCTCTGACATCTGCTCTCTAAATTACAAATATCTGCCTATAGCAACAATCACAGTTCCAAGGAAAACAAACCAAAAGGAAATAAGAGAAAACGATGGAATCTTAGCATATTAAGAGATGTAATACTTTGGAAAGAGCAGGAAGATAATCCAGGAATGACCCCTCCATCTTAAGGATCAGGAAACTGAGGCCCAGGGAGGTTCCAGAACTTTCTTGAGAGCACACAGTTGACAAAGAGCTGAAGCAGGATGAGAGCCAATCCTCTAAACTGTTGGTTCACTGCTTTTTCCATGAGGGTAGGAGCTCATATCTCAGTTCCCACCTTGAGTGTATTTTTTAGACTCTGGCCCTGAGAGCTTTGGAAGAAAGAGTAAGTGGCCCCATCAATGATCCTCAGTGGGTTGGTCTCGCAGCAAATCACTATCAGGTTAGCTGTACCAAATCCAGAGAGGCAAGAAAGGGTTACATGGAAGGAGATGAGGGTGTGACTCACTTCCTGTGCCTGTGTGGATGGGAAATAGCACTCAAGGGAAGTAGTGCTGGTGGTCAGAGAGAAGGCAGAGGAGGTCCCTTCTCTTCTTCAGTAAACACTGCACTGAAAGGCTACTGGCCTGGAAGTTGCTTCAGAGTGCCAAGCACAGTGCTGGGTGAGAGTGGCACCATGTCTCTTTCACCATCCCTTTTCAGAATCCCAGGGAACTCAAACATGGACTGGCTTTTAAAATATTTTACAAATAGCATAGTTCATTTCATGGTATCACAGACTCTTCCTCGGAATTAGAAAGGCTCTCCAGATGTGTTTATACATATATATAGCATGCCCTAGGAGGCCTCAGGAACATTAAAGAAACTTGAGTTCTCCACCAAAGCCCTGTATCTATCTTGTCCCAGGTACATGATCATTCATAACGTTGAGAGAAATCTTTGAATTGTAGACCTAAGAAGGGCTTGCCAGAGGATCTTGTTCATCCTGTGCTTTTGAACAAACTGACTCGTCTTTAACCCTGTAAGGAAAGAGACTCCTCTTCCCCCATGGGAAGAAATCTATGGTGTAACAAATGCTCAAGGTAGGATTAGTCTTAGTGATTTAAATCCAAGTCCTCTCTGCTATGGGTTAATTTCATTCCCTTTGCTCTACTCCTCACCTGCAACAGAGAACAGCTAGATGCCAGCACCCACAGGTGAGTCCTTAAGACATCCAAAGTTGAGGAGTTTTGCACAATTCCATGAGAAGAATACCTTTTGTTAACACACTTAACAAAGGAATTTCTTACCCAAATAACCCATTGGTACTTATCTGTCACTTCTCCTTTCTTTCTTGATGGGGGTAGGGGAAAACCACAAGATGACTATGTTCATGTTTATGATGAATAAAACCTTCTATATTAAATTCAGAGAAAGAGAGATGTGTACATGGCTAACTCTAGTTCATTACTTGTCAAAGGAAGAGCAAACTAGGAGAGGGTTGGTTAGGTTATAGTATTCTGTGAAACTGGGCGGAGTATGTACTTGCATAAATCTTTTTTGAAATCTTGTTGCATTTTTGTCTGAATTACACTAATATGGTTACATGGAGATTGAAATCTCTTCTGCCTTATTTAAGGAGAAGCTATCAGCAGCACTTTGAGCTAATGAACTTGGGGGTTCTGAGAACCTGAAGCTTGAAAAGGGACGTTAGGGAGGCTTATGCACGGGTCCTGAAACATTGCTTTTAGCCACTGCATACCCAGAAGTAGACTCCAAAGAGGTAGCCAACGCTCATAATGATCTGATTTCTTCTGGCCAGAAACTGATAATGAAATGGCAAGTTATAGACAAACAACACTATGATCTCTTGAAGGAAATAGAAATGTCTTCTGGATTGGTTCAATGACCACATTCTAACTTTTCTCCTATTCATCAATGCTTTTAGCTGCTGCCTTTTGTGGTACAACCTATACTTTCTAGACCAGATTATTCTAGAGGCCTGGTTGTACATGAGAAATCCTCTGCCTTGCGCCTCTAATTTCTTTCATTCCTCTGTTCTGGCCTTTTCTCAGTATCTGCTTTTAGAGAAGCCATCACACACACACAAACACACACACACAAAAGCACACAAAGGAATAAGCTCACTTCTACCAACTTATGGATCCTAAATTGATTTTATTTCTCCTAAGAAAAAAGTGTATCTAGAAATGTACTGGTACTGTGTATTCTGTATACTGCCTTACGGTAGGGAATTGAATGCATCATTTCTGCACAGAGCTTTTATTTTGTTAAGGAAAAACCAGAAAAAGGTGATTCCTTGTCTTCCTCTGTCCTACAAACAGCTTCAGGAAGTCTCAGTCCAACAGTGTGGACTTCGGCCGGGTGGACTTGGACATGGGCTCATTAGTGAATATTATCTTTCCATATGATGTTTCATTAAACAGCCCAGCCCACAAATGTCCCCAACAAATGCAACTCTCAAGAAAAAAAGATGATTTGCCAAGTAAAGAACTATGATTTATAGTAGTTAACTGTTACACTCTAGACATTATTGAGCTTTGTTTTGAAAAATCATTACAATGGTTCTGTAGAATTTAGGAGTATAACCAGCACCATTTGGCACATTTATGACAATAGGGTTCTGGTTTTCTTAACTCCGCAGTTACATGTTGGCAGCATTTCAAATTCTTGGCACAGATGTTTAAGTGAATTTAAAGAACATTAAAAACAAAACAAAACATTGGGTAGTTTTGCATGTCCGAATGTAAGGAGGAGCATTATTTTCTTAACATGCAGTTAGCATGGGCATGAAACCATAAACTTGGTAATGGATAGAATGGGAAGCATGAAAACCATTTGCAAAGGGCTTTGAGATTTTTTTTTTCCCACTGAGGATGCTATCACTTTTCTAGAAGCACTTCTTACTCAGTCTATCAAATGAGACTCAAATATCTCTGTGCCTTTGCCCTGGAGACAGGTTAGTTTCTAGAGCATCAGTGGATAAGCAAGTAGACTCATTCTCTCCACATGGGGCCACATCACCATGCCACCATCATCCCTGGGTTTCACGCTAACATTGCCTGGATTCTGGTAAAACAGCTTTCTAGAAATTTGTTTTAAATACACAAGTTAAATTCCCAGTTTAACATATGAAGGGGAAAAAATGGAACGTAGGGCATTCCCTGTGGCCTGCTCAGTGTTAGCGTCTGAAGCAAAACTGACATCAGCAATGGGCAATGTGTTCTTGGACTCAGCTTTCCCGGGCGCCTTCACCGTAGTAGGCAGAGTCTCCTCACACCACATGCGGGCATAAACTAGGAGGGCATTTCTGGAATCAATCCAAGTCTTCCTTACCCCCTCACCACCCCATGCCCATCAACAAAATAAAACAGTCTTAACAAAACATACAAATCTTCCCCCATTTACTGGCTAATTCTTGAAATGCCTTTCTTAGAGAACACTTTCATAGTTCAAATTAAAGAAAAATCTTACACTGTTATGAGAGACAACAGATCAATGGTGTTAGATCCCTCACAAGGACAGTCCCCGAGGGAGGTGGGGGAGAGCAGGGCGTCATAGCTGGTGCTGCTGGCCACACAAGAGGGGTGGGGGCCGGGGAGAGACAAATGATGTCCTATCCAAAATTTGGTCTGGCGCCTCACAAGATGGGTAAGATGCTGCTCCTCGGCCCTTCATGCAAGACACTAGACAGCATTGGTAAAGCATGAACATTTATATTTAATTTACATTTTGACAATTTGCACATAAATAACAATGTAAACCAGTATGTAAACATAAGATAGTTTGTTGTTCTAGCAAAGTAAAAGGCCAATAACTTTGGTCAGTTTTAACTTTGAGTAGAGGAAAAAAAATAAAACCACTGTTGATTGTGGGCTCAACATTCACATGTAAGAGGCCGAAAAGGGAAAGACAGATGGTGAGAGAAGCAAGAAGTCTTTATAAAAACTCTCCAATACAGTGTAAGAAAGCACAAAAGGAGAAAAAGAACAGATAAGTAGTTGGGAATAAAAACTATTTCGTGTCAGTGGTGATGGGATGCTTTGGATTATCTACAATTAAGGATTGATTATCAAACACTAAAAAGTTGTCAGTCTTGCTAGTAACAGATCAGTAAGGCTATCGGGTTTCCCTGGATGATTCGAATTTGTTCTCTTCTGCAGGTGATTATTAGTCGACATGAATAAAATGTCAAATACAGTTATAACAGAGATTGAATCGTGATGCATCAGTATTTAGGAAGGAGAGACAGGAAGAGAGCAAAGTTACAGTGGTAAAGGAATTAATAATGAGATTTTTATTTCTGTGACTTGGGTGTGACCACATCATCATCATGTGGCAAAACAAAAATAAAGCTGTCTTAGATAGTCCTTAATAATAAAGAGCAATGTATCTCTTTCTCCCTGGTTGTCATGTGGTCCCCACCTTTGCACCAAGGTGTTAGGGTCTCTTACAATAGGCAAGGAGTGCCCAAGCACACCCATGTGATTGTGAAGTCATCAAGTATTAAGCAAAGACTCAGAAAGATTTTTTTTTTTTTTTGCCCTTAGGAAAAGTAGGTTCTTTTACATGGCTTGGCTCACAATTTAAGTGGTTATAAATATATTATATATACATGTGGTATAGTGGTATAAATAGATTTATAAATATACATCATTCTTTGCTACACCTTACACACCAACGTGTAATCTTTGGGCTAAGCAGAGTAAAAGATAGAATGACACACAGTCTATCTTTCCAGAGCACACTTACTTGGTTTCTCCTCTAGAGTAGCAAATCATTAGGTAAGACATCATTTCCTGCACTACTGGACATACTCAATGAGGTAACTGTTGTCGAACAACTTTGCAATGCCCCTTCAACTTCAATTAAATTAACCATAAAATGTAAAAACACAAATACTGAGGAAAATTCGAGTTTTACAGAAAAAAATACAATTGATGTGTTGGGGATAGGAATGTTCATTACCTGCTTTTACCCCAAGATGACCAGAATACCCGTTTCTTATTTTTATTTTTAAAGTGTGGCCTGAGCCGATCTACCTCAAATCCTTCCTGGTAGAGCACCATGTTTGTGCAATTTTGACATTAAAAAAACAAAAACCAGCAACAAAACAACACCCTGACTCAAGCCCCCAAAACCTCACACATACAAAACCACCTGTGCTTTGGGAAAGGCTCACACAGTGGTTTCAAACATGGCATTTTGTCTTCTTCACATTTTCAGATAATACATTGGGATGCAAAAGTCATGTGGCCGCTCTGAATGGTCACAGGACTTTGGGGGTTGGGTGGGAGGACCCTGCTCTTTTAAAGAGAGACAGTTTGGCAAAGCCTTCCTGTCACCTTTCTGGTAAAATTGTAGCTGGGGAAAAATATCAACTATCAACAGAAATATTCAAGATTCCCATTCTTGTTTCTTCTACTCAAGTTAGTATTGGGTAATTCTGCACACATACCCCCAAGTTACATACAATGCTGTTCAAATGATATGATCCCGCGAATTAACACATCAACTGTCTAACTTTGGCAATACCAAAACCTCATTCTCAAACCATTATTATAGAGAGAGGTTGACTGAAGTCTCGTGTTTGTTTACTAAATCTTAGGTACTTCAACAGATGGGCAGAAATTATCTACAAAGAATGGCCACAAGACAAAAATACAACAATTTATACTCAAATTACAAGGAATCTTTCCAGTCATTGTAAACTTTTTTAATTATTGCTTTTCGAATGATAAATTGTATAATAAATTATGAAGGATTATCATTGAAAAAATAATTATGAGTAGGCAATAGTCTTAGTAATGGGAAGGCTATGCAAACATATCCACACAAATATTCAAAATACACAGGTTCAAATATATAGACATGGGTGTAAATAAGCATATATAATATGTATATATATATATATATATATATAGTCTTTGCCTCATTCATGCCCTGAGATTTCAGTAACTTTGGAGTTCCTTCTTTAATTCCAGAGAGGTGAGGGGAAACCATTTGCCGTCAGGAGAGCTTTGCAGAACTGGAATTATGTACAAGGAATTTGCTACCGGCACCCTGACTCACCAAGTCATAACTTAAGAAACACAACACTTGTTGTCTGAAAATCTTAAGGATCCATTGGTTCTACTGTTTCTTGTTTGACCTTTACAGGTACCAGAGGTAGTGGGTGGCTGGGAGGCAGCTTCGTGAGGGACAGTTCTGATGACTCATAAAGGCTACACCCCGAGGACAGGAGTCCATTCCCCATGTTTCTTTGCAAAGAAACTTTCAGGCCAGTTTCTTCTTTCTCTTTCCTGACCACGGCCAGAATTTCTTTCTCCACCACAGAAGTCACATTGATGTCGTCCTCCACATCATCGAGCCGGTCAGCATTGTCGCTGATGTCAAACTTCTCAATTTCTTCATTAATTCGAGTCAGGTCCTCCAAGGGCAGCCCAGTGGCCGGGGCCATGGGGCAGTTCCCCTTCAGGTGGACCTTGAGGCTGCAGAGATGGATGTAGCTCTTGTGGCACTGGGCACACTTGTGGGGCCGCTCCCGGGTGTGGAGACGCTTGTGCAGTTTCAGGTGCACAAACTGGGTGAACTTGGCAGGGCACACCTTGCATTGGTAAGGTTTCTCTCCAGAGTGGAGTCGCAGATGGGTCTTAAGATTGCTGGTGCTGCTGAATCGCTTGTGGCAGACCTACAGGGTGGGGGAGGGACAGCGCAGAGAAGGGAAACAGGAAGACCAGAAGATTAAGAGTTGCCGACGGGCGGGACAGGCTTACAGGCCAATGCCCAGCAACCTGGGAGGCGAGGTGGCACCTAAGTTGTGATATTAGGCAAACCTCAGGGATGTGGGCTGCACATGAGGACGTGTTTATTCCCCCATCATTTTCCCACCCACTGGAACCTGGCTGTGTCATCATCTCTGCTTGTCAGCAGATACAGAGCACCGGGAAGGCCTCAGTGCCATCAGCCCATGCCAAGGCTGCATTCTAGTGATGGTCTGCAGGCTACACGACATGGGAGGGCAACTCCACAGACATTGTCTATAAACGTCCAAAGTTCTACCCAGAAAATACTGCCCACCTGGCATTCATGTGGCTTTTCTCCCGTGTGTACCAGGTAGTGTTTCTGTAGGTGGGCGAGCTGAGTAAAGCCCTTGTTGCAAGTCTGACATTTGAACGGCCGTTCTCCACTGTGCACTCTCAGGTGGACCTGGGAAGAAGCCACATGTGTTAGCTCCGCTCTCAAGTCAGCTCTGACACCTAACATTTCTGCTCAAAGACTCAGGTGTTTATGATGCAAACATCTTAAGAAAAGCATCAAGACAAAGTCTTAAACAGAACAAATACACCCCAGTGTTTTCAGAATGTTTTGTTTTGCTTGAGCTAAAAGGACAAAAATCACAGGCTGGCAGGGACTTGAAACTGATCTTTTAGCCCAAACTCCCCATTTTTATTTTTCAGAAGAAACTCGGGAGAAGGAAAGGAAATTATCCAAAGTCACAGAGCTAGACAGTGGCAAAAGCAAAGTAGAAGCCACACTTATTATTCCCAGCCTGGGTCTCATACTGATGAAAATGCAATTTATAACCCGAGGAAAGCGAGCTAAGTACACGCGTGCATCTATCCTAGCAGACGACCAGACTGCTCTCCCCAGAGGCCTACCTTCAGATTGGAGAGCTGGCCAAAAGTCTTGGCACAAACGTTGCATTCATACTTAATCTTGCCATTCTGCTTCTTTAGTGGGTAGGGAAGCGTCTTGTAGCCCGTCATGTTTCTTTTGTTTTTAATGAGATTCATGGCTTCGTCACTGCTGGGGGCTGCCATCACTGCTGAGGTAGCTTTGGGCTGCACCACGTGTTCCGCCGTGGCGGCTGTGCCCGCTGTGGGAGACCCGCTCGTGGGGCTGCAGGTCTTGTCCTTCATGCTGGCAGCAGCCCCGGTAAGGGAAAAGGCACTGTGCGGCGCCGGGACAAGCACGTCCCTGGGATGCTCCGGCTGCAGCAACCTCCGGGCTCCATCTGAGGGCAGCGAACTTGGGAGAGCAGCTGGGTTGAGCATGGGGTGAGGCAGGCTGCCCGCTCCAAGGAGGTTACTGTAGACAGGGCACAGCCTCGGGAAGAGGCTGAAGTTGTTGATGCCATTCATGTTGCCCACCGCACTCAGGCTGTTACAATTCATGCCATAGGGGGGCAAGAGGAACTTGGGGTAGTGAGCATTGTAAGAGGGGATGAAAGCTGGCGGGAGGTGGGGCAGGGGTGCGTATCCGGGGTAGGAGCCCAAACCTTCCGGGCCGTAGGGTGCGTTCAAGTAAGTGTAGGCATCCCGGTGTTCTTGAGAGCCGGGAGCCACAGGGGACACCGTGTTCCCAGGGCTGCTGTGTGGGCTGGAGCTTTTTAAGCTTTGGTCAGGGCTGCTTCTTGCCGAGGGACTGGGAGTGGTGGAGGATGGGAGGGAGGAGTGAGTGATATAAGTTGGTCTCTCCATCCCGTAGGGCAGGGAAGCTTTCAAAAAGTCTTCAGGCAGAGGAGCCCGGATGGGGTAAACAACCCGAGGGTAGAAGGGCATTTCAGGGCTCCCGTTTTTTCTAAAGTCATCCATGTCCTTTTCCGAAGTGAGGGGTGAAATGTTAGAAGAGTAGAAGTGCTTTCCTTTGGAGGGGTTGGAGTCCAATCTTAGGATTTCTTTCACGCTGTACTCTCTCTTTGGGACATTCTTTGGGCAAAGTTCATTTTTCTCAGTGCTCTGTTGCTTTGTGTTGCTCTGTGTTTGTGCTGAAATAAAGAAGAAAGGGCGATTACTCAAAAGGCTAGAGAGGACTGAAGCAAAGCCCCAGAGTTGCTTGCGCTTCTTGAGAAAACGTGGGCACCAGCTGGCAACATGAAGGCCAAGCATCCGGCCCTAACACCCTCGTTCTGGAAGGCTCTGGGCCACTCGCTCAAAGGTGCTGCTCCGTTTCCTCCTCAGCGCGACAGGGGCAACAGCAGCATCAACAGAACAAACAGCACCGTTTGGAGGATTTTGTTTCCATCAGTGCAGACTTTATGATAGAAAAGTGCTGTTCGAGCCGGAACAAGAGAGCTTCCATTAAAATAGGGTGGAAAATTACTGGGGTGGGGGAGTCTCATAGGTTAATAAAAGCTGTTCTGATGCTCACAGTTTACCTGAAGGAAATCAGCACACCCTGCAAATGCGATGTGAAACATTAAGACTCATTTCAAATAATAAGCAGTCATCAATTTTCGCCTCAATTCTTGTTTAATACACATTTGCTGAAACCCTGTTCAAACTGCCTGTGCCAAGGAGATTAGCGACATGGACGCCAGCCCGGACCCACAATTTGCAGGCAGGCAGCACGAGCATTTCACCAAGGCTCTGTCTGGTCTAACCGGGCTCCCAGTAGCGCTGGCCCCTGGAATCACAAGGCGTGACAGTCACCTCTGCCAAACCACAACAGGTACTTCCTGAGCCAGTTCAATTACTTAGAGCACCAAAGAAAACAGAGGAAGCTGAGAGGAAAGCATTTATTCCCGAAGATGGCGTATTATTACTTGGTAAATATACTATTTAAGAACAGCAGCAATGAGGACAGTTGCAGACTCTCTCTGCCGCTGCCAGCCCTCCCTGCCAACACACAGAACAAGTGGTGCCTTTGGGAAAACACGAGTCTGAGCAGGGAAAACCGAAAACTCCCTGCTCAGCCTTCCCTGGAAACCAAAAGTAAAACATGTGACACTTAGTTTGAACTTTGGTTGTCGCAGAACAATCGCGGGAGCCAGGACACCTGCCCTGGCAGCGGGCTGAAGGCATCAGCTGTGTGTGCGTGCGGGTGCCTTCCGAGGCAGTGGCACCCTTGGCCTCAGCATGAGGAGACCTGGCGGGTTTGGGATACACTGAAGCCTTTGCACAAGTATCTTTCATCGTCTTAAAAAATGTCCCTGCTTGACTTAATGGAGAAAGAACTCCAGGCTCGCTATCTGATAGGTCTAGAAATGGACCCTGTGAAACTCCAGAACTGAGCCCTTCAAATCCATTCTCTAGGCTGACAGGCTTGAGGGATTCGATTCCAGGCTGAGAGGCCCTGAGAGAATGTTATCTCCTGCTGGCCGTTATCAGCGACTCTCCGCCAAGCCAGAAGGCCCAGAATAAACACAGGGAGCAACACTATCAGGGAAGATGCCGATCAGGGGGCAGTGATGGAAAGCTTGTTGAGGAAGAGGGATTTCTGAAGCCACTAAACCAAAATAAATATCTCCTTATCAGGCCAATATCAGTCTTTCAGTGAGGCCCAGCAGGCAGGAAGTTCAAATTGTCACTTTTGTTTTTTAAAGCTGAAATGGTAAAGGAAGAGAGAGACAACTTAGCTGGAAAAACTGATAGGCAAGGCATCTCACAGCCACAGGAAGGAATTTTATGAAGGATTTGGAAGCATCCACACAGGCTCGAATTAATAATGATTGTTTAAAAAGATGCCACCCTAATAAAATAAAAATACTGAAACTTTATCCTCATAACTTTGTGCCCTTTTTATGTGGCAAATTACATCTAAGTGTCATTACTTTTCCAGACTTCAGTACTCCCTTGGTTCTAAAATTCAACAAACTAAAGCCATAAGCATAAAAGTTTAAGTCCGTCCATAGCACTGCCCCTCACATTTAGCCACGTCAGTACTCCTCCCAAGCATCTTAATATAATTTGATTATTGTACTGATATAAAGCTAATGATTGGGACAACAAACAATACGGTCAGAATTTTAAATTTTTTAAGCAAACTACTTAGCACGGTGCCCAGCATATAGTAAATCCACAATAAATGTTTGCCATCTCTAATGCCTTCAGAAAAACAGATTTACATCTTACTGTAAAAGGATATCCAGAGCGAAACAGAGTCTCCCTAAGATGTTCTACATGTGGAATTTATGAAGTCTGTATACAGTAAAGGTACATTTTCAAAAACCATCCTTCGGCAGCTGAGTGATCAGTGGAGCTGGTGTCATTTCTGACTCTCCACCTCAGCAGCAACTTGAGTTAACATGAAAAAGAAAATCAAGATCTGTTTTTGTTCTTAAATCTTAAATGGCTGTAGGCGGACGGAGTCATTTCAAGAGTGAACTGCTTCTGAACGCCCTGAATGGCTTAATTATGCCGACTCACATTTTCGATCTATAATAAGAACCCCAAGACTACAAGAAAGAACCTAGAAGTTCTGCAGTAGGCAAAACAAAGTCTGTTTTCAACTGAAACTGAGAAAGCAGATTAACATTTAGAAGTCTATAATTTGGTCAACTGTTTTCTAGATGGGTTAGTTAGATAGATAGAAAAAAAATACCCCCAAAATTGGGAGGGGAAGGGTTTAACGTAACAGTTCTTTTACTCCTTTTTCTGGTTTGTTTTGTTTTTAGAAAAATGCCATTTTGTGATTTCGGCTACTTGCTTTTCTTTACTTCTGTTGCTTCAAATCCCTTCCTCTCAAAACTCTACCAGTTGAACCATCACTGCCATTTAAGCCCTCACAGAGATTCTGGCACAAACCTCTACTGTGCTTTAAGCACGGAAACCCACCAGAACTTATCTGGAGACACAATCAATCTATTAGGCCTGATGAAATAGTAGAAATTTTCCTGATCAGAGTCTCAGTTATCAGCTGCCACACCTAAGACAACTGGTTTCACAATCGGCAGCAAGAGTCTTGTTTTAATGTGACTGGTTATTGTAAACTCTCCTTTACTGAGAATATTGGACAATGAAAGGGTACTTGAACATGGTAAACCACGATTTAGAAAAAATGCTGCATAAATAAAAGGGGATATTTGAGGGAACAAAGGTGTCGTTTCATAGCGTACATGAAAGTTGCTTCTAAACACAAAGAGTAAACACTTGAATCTTAAAATACTGTGCAAAGGCCGGGCGCGGTAGCTCACGCCTGTAATCCTAGCACTCTGGGAGGCCGAGGTGGGCGGATTGTTTGAGCTCAGGAGTTCGAGACCAGCCTGAGCAAGAGCGAGACCCCGTCTCTACTAAAAAAATAGAAAGAAATTATCGAGAAAAAAAAATATATAGAAAAAATTAGCCGGGCATGGTGGCACATGCCTGTAGTCCCAGCTACTCGGGAGGCTGAGGAAGTAGGATCGTTTAACCCCAGGAGTGTGAGGTTGCTGTGAGCTAGGCTAATGCCATGGCACTCACTCTAGCCAGGGCAACAGAGTGAGACTCTGTCTCAAAAAAAAAAAAAAAAAAAATACTGTGCAAAGCCTTTCCTTGCAGAATAAAAATGCCAGGCCTTCAAAACCTTTCTTTGATTGGCATAGGGTGGGGGAAGCATGTGAAAAAGTTTCTTCGTGGTTAGGACAAAGTCACTGGGGTGGGTCACCTCAAATGGACATATTGTTTAAAGAAAAACAAAAATCAAAGAACTGTCTCTGAACCTGTGAGCGATTAAACTCAAAAAATATAAGAAGACCCTCAAGAGGAAGAGGCTCACTCACTATGCTGAGAAAAGTTAGAAAGGAGCAACACATCTTCCCATGAGACGCCCTGCTGGAATGTAAGTTCCGTGAAAACATAACTGTGCCTTTGTGTCTTTTACCACCAGGCCCTTAGCACTGAGCCTGGCACATACAGATGCCAAGATAGCCGAGTGCCCCCCGGGATGTTGGGCCCTAGGGACATAACAGAGAGTCTCAGGGAGTGCCGAAGAGACAAGGGGAAAGAACTGCCACCTTTGGTTGTGACCTTATTATACCTGTATCATGCTCAAACTGGAAGCCAGTTTGCTTCCAAACATTCCTTTTCCTGAAGTTCAAGGGTGCACTGTGTGTATAAGGACCATGAACACAAATCATAAAAAAGGATCCAAGGGGGTGGTCCCGAAGCTTTTATAGCCCCAGATTTTTTAGAAAACTGTAAATACAGTCTACTTCAAGTAAAGTGAACAGCGTGGAATGAATTCCAAATAGCTGTGTAGTTAGATCATAAATGACTACAATTAGTATTTGGTTTGTTAATTGGTCCTAAATTTGAAGTCAAAATTCCAATTTATGTTAAAATTAATATTTATTACAACTATCTCAAGGGGGAAAATATGAACTAAAACAATTTGGCTTATAACAATTTAGCTTCGGATAAAGCAAATGGACAACATAACAACAGTTGGTGAATCTGGGTAAAGGGTAACTGGGAATTCTTTGTTCTTTTCTTACAATGTTTCCTTGAAGTTTGAAATGATATCAAAACAAAAAGTTACAAAAATTTCAGCAAGTAGTTTTAACTTTTAAATGAAAAGGAGCTAATTTTTAAAACTGCTATAAAACTGAGCAGTCTAACCAAGAACACACAACCATAGTTCCAACAGAGGTTAGAATTTCATGGTAATTCTTAAATTACTCATAGAGATCACTTGAGATCGACTAAAATGAAGTAGCCCTTTGCAGAGAGGTCACGACAGCAATTTTAACCAAATAAAAAAAGTAAAAGCATCTTAACCTAAGGAACTGAGAATCTGTTAAGATAAAGTGATAGGTGGCTACTGTAACACCGATCAGAAGATCAGGTAAGTAGTTTACCATAAGGAAGGAAGCTAAGATAGGAAATCTTTAGTTATTCATTTAGAGTAATATTTGAGAAATTATAACAGAGTTTTTCTAGCAACAATCTCATAATGTTCCACATCACACCATAACTTTATATTCAAATGCACATCTCTACAATATTTTAATGCACATTCTAAGCAGCAAGAAAGTACCACAAACAAGGGGCTATGCCTTGCATACTCAGCATGTCTGGCCCAACCCCTATTATACTCTCAACCACGCCCTTTTGGATAAATTAGAAGTGGACATATATTTCTTCCTGTAACTTTCTGAACTAAATACTCAAAGTAGCTCTTAGTATATATATTTTTATGATCAAGTTTCATAATAGAGAATAAGGATTGAAAAAAAATGTTTTTCCTCTTCCTAGTCCCTAGTTTAAGCCTCCTACTTGGGCCCACAGATGATGAAGCCATATAATTAAACAACATGTCATTAGCTCATAGGGGCAGAACTGACATTACTGGCATTTTAAATTTTTTTGTTCTGTAATCCACTTACTGAGACTCATCATTGTCAGCTCTCCGGGATAAGGGTAGTGAAGCCTTTCTGCAAAGTCCCGACAATACCACACAAGAAGTTCCTGGTTAGCAGGGATGGGCTTAATGGTGTAGAAATAGATGTTCATGCCGTTCTGACAAGCAGCCAGGTTTTGCTCCCGGGCAGAGTGTGCTGGGTTCACATAGCGCATCCAGTTGCTTTTCTCCTCATTAAAGCCATCAATGAAGTGGTGAAGCTCCCCTCTGGCATAGATCTGTCCAAAGAGAAGACAGGCATGTAAAAGGAAGTCAGCCCCAACGCGACGGAAAGCTTCCCCAGCACCTCTCAGAATAAACACAGCCTGTCCGGTGCGTGCTTTCTGATCCCCTACTGCCTAGTCAGCAAGAGAATCAGATCGGTTTAGCCAGAGTGGTCTTGAATCAGCAGAAACAGGGGCGGAAACAGGTAAGGCACACTTTGTCAGTTACCTTTTCCATTTCGGCTTTATCGTCTTTTCACATTCGGGAAAAGTAACAGAAGAATGAAACACAAATTCTCATTTAAGGAGCTGCCTCTAACCGATTAAACCACCACAGAGCCCTACTTTGGCTACAGCAGTGAATGGCAAACGGGCAATGCTGCTAACTTCGGTTCCGATGATGATGACTTTTAGTGCTTTGAGTCACTGGGTAGAAGAGCAAGGCGACTGACTACGTCAAACTGAGTCTCTCAGCTTTTTCTACGGCCTCTGTACTTGCCATTTCCTACACCTCCGCCCAAGGCTTAAACTATGCAAACATCCTCCACCCCCAGCCCTGCCAGTCCTACAGTAACACTTGTTCATATGAATACTTGGAACCTTGCCTTTTTGTGGAAACACTGGGCGGGGCAAAGGTGAACTTCACCTGCCATAACAAAGTGAACACCGGGACGGCAGCCAGAATTGACAGTCTACTGAACAGTCACTTTTCCTCGTGATAAACATGTTCAGCCTTGTGCTTTTCTTTCAAGCCAAAGGAGGGAGGAGAGAGCCCTCTTATCTGTGAGAAGGCTGGCTAAAACACCACACTCAGAGGCAGGGGCGTGTGCTTTTGAAAAAAAGAACAGGAAGAAAGTATGTCCTTCCTTAAAGGCAAGGCATAACGAAGAATTCAAATTTGAAATTTGTCCTAGAGTCACACTACTGCTTAACAGATGCATTCAGGCCGCTTAGTCAAAAAGCAGAGTTAAGAAAGGAATAGGAAAAAATTAAAATATATACTCTTACTAGTAGAAACTACTAACTCCTTATCCTTCCACAGAAGTTTCTCTCTCCCTCTTTTAGGAGGTACCACCTTTTAAGAGCTTCAGATTTAAGACATTTCTTTACACATATACAACACCTGGTTATCTGAAACTTGTAGTCTCCAAGTAGTAGGGCACTGTTTGTAGCAGAAATTTTGCTCTAACAAGACAGCAGGTTATTGCTTTATTCTTGCTCACATACCGACTATGTTAGTCCACAAATTGTTTCTGCATTTCGCTCAAACGTTATCAGAAATAAAAAGGAACTCTGTCCCTTTAACACAGGCAGTAAACACCAGAATCACTTTCTTTTAAGAGTAACTTCCTGTAAATTGTGAAGGGGGAAATACATGTGGCTTCATCAAAGCAGCTTGTGAGAGCTTTTGCGGTGTGTTTTGTTAAGAGAAAATGGAACAAGGCTGGGTAAATTCTGCTATCAAGAGGGGTTTTCAAGTTTGTTTACTCTGATGTGCAAACTTCCAGGAACATGGGGTTCCATCGCTCTTGCACTCTTCGCTGGGGCGGAAACTGCTTTCTAAAGCTACGGGTATGTTGATTCCAGTCAGTCTTCCACGGACTACAATTTACTGTATCCTCATTTAAAAACAGAAATGTCGATGGCATGAAGTCACACACATACACACACCCACAAGAAAATACAATAATGCATACGTATAATGAACACTGTTCCCTGCCACCTCACTGCATTTCCATATATTATCAAGAAGATAAAAAATGTGCTGACTCATAGTACAGTTACAAGAAATGTCACTGGTTTCTCAACTTGAACATCCCTTCTCTTCTTTGACTGTGTAATTTGCATGAAACTTTTTCTTTCCTCACAACAGATGTTCATATTCCTGCCAGCAAAATCAGGATGCTTTTAACAACATGTGGGAAGTTATCTCCTACAATATCCTTTGCATGTGAAGGAGTGATTCAAATAAATCCTCCCAAGGAAAGACTTTCAGTTACTTACGATGAATCTTTAAATGAAACAGGGAACTGGGACAGTGAGGGAGATTCTTAGGTGTTTCTTGCCTTTTTCCAAAATGACCATATGTTAATGAGACTTATGCTGGATCACCTTAATTCAGACCTTTGACTCCAAGAATTATACACCTCTATAGCTCACTTTCAAGAAGAATTTATTGGCAATAAAGGCAAAAATACACTTACGTTTTCTCCATTATAAGTCATGTGGTGAATATATTTTAAGCGTGAACAATTATTAAATAAAAATTTTGAGCGCATAATTCTTAGTGAATCTATAACTGTTCTCTGCTTAGGTAATAGTAAAATAAATTTCTAAAAGCACAAAACTTACTGGGTTAAAGAAATTGTTTCTTAGAAATAGCTTCTGAGTGATTCACTAGCAGAAGTCTTTTATGATACTTGTCCAATGATATAACTGTTCTAGGCAAAAAGACCAGCCAAAGCGAGCATAATACAATTTTTGTTGTTATCAGGCAGCTGTTTTTAAAAAAGAATTTAAATAATATACATTTTGTGTAAGTATGTGTTAAAATGCTTACTAAATTTAAGTAAGCACATCTTTATTTTCTAATGAGGAAACTGAATATCCCAGAAACACCTATGGGGAAGGTGAAAGAAGTCTGACTTTTCTCTGTTCACTCTTTACTCCAGGATTCCATCTAATTAGCTCACCTCTGGGGTCCTGTCTAACCCTGATATTCCAAAGGAAATTATACCAGCCAGACCTTTTGGCTGAATGTTACAGGAAAGCTTATTATCTCAGATGATTGTCAGCATTTTTCTTAATACTGTCAAACACAGTAGTTCCATAGTGCAGATGCATTTAAATGGGACTAGTCCTGTGGTCCTTGTCCATTCCCCAGCCCCATCTTCCACCCATCCTTCCCTAATGGCATTTACTTTCAAGATAATTCATTTGTGATAACTCTTCCATTCAATTAAAGTTAACTCAGCAAGAAATCAAGAAGGGGTGAAATCTAAGGCTTGGTGACTCATTACTACTTCCTTGCAGAGAAATGCAAATGAACCTACCCTTGAAGCAAGCAGCAAACTGTTTCCTTTCATCACAAAGTTCTAATGAGTTGCTAAATCAAGATTCACATGTAGTCCATATCTCCATCACTAACAACTTATAAGCTGTATTTCCAGGGTCAAATATTTAACCAGTTTCATCACATTTGCTCAGAATTCCCTGTGTCCATGGGGACCCTGGACACTTGTGGGTGAGCCTCAGTATTTCCCAGCACAGGTAGAAAAAGAAAGTGACCCAACTCTTCTAGCTCCATTTTTTCCTAATACTTAATGAGTTTGGAAAAATTTTCTTTACTTACCCGCCAAAAGTATTTCCTGTTGGCATTCTTGGGAACTGTATCATTGGTGTAGATTTCACCTATTAGGGGTCCAAAACGTGTTCCCTTTGGTATGTATTCTTTACTCACCACTCCAATAACCTAAAGAGGGTACATGATATGAAACAATTACTTAAACTGTAAAATGTTAACCAATCTTTTTATTTCAATGAATTGAATTGTCAAATGGTAATATAACCAACAACGATAAAATTTTGATATGGAGAACATATTAATATTAATGGTGCTCACATACTTAACAACAAGCTTCACCTTAGGGGAGGACCATCTTTTAAAGTCTGAGATCATAAGCAAATTCTCAACCAAGCATTAAAATAATCTAGAAGGTCCTTTATTTTTATTATTACTTTTTATACTAGAAGCATAGAGAGGAAAACCATTCTGTTTAAGAATGAGAATAAGATGCTGCAGAAATAGATAGTCAAGATTAGACCATTTCAGCCTGTTCCTAGTTTCCTATTTCCCATTCCCCTCAAACCATAAATACAGTGTGCTTGAGGGGAATAAAACAGTTTTAACCTCAAAAACCAAAATAATGCTCTTTGGTTGTTCCACAGTGGCCTATGGAACCAGAAACCAAACGCATTATGTTTTTTTCATTCCAGATGAGGGTTGTTTTTTTTTGTTTTTTTTTTTTAATAGCTTGTAAGTTCTCTGTAATAGAAGAAAGATCTTTCAAGTAACTTTGTTCTTCTCTAGCATCTTCTCCTCAACAGTGGTCAAAAATCCTCCTTTGAAACGCCATTTATACCAAGGAGAGCTGCGGGTACTAAGATCTGAGGAAATGACCTTTTCAGACTGGCTGCATCACACGTTTTGGCTTTGTAGTGCCTTGCTAAAGAAGCACTCTAACTATGCCAGTTCCTCTTTAATCAGAAATGTCTTTTTCTGAGGGGGCAAAATAATCACCAGCCATGAATCAGGAAATAATTCATCACTATTCAAAAGAACTCCTCTGTGAGTTGTCCTTTACAATATTTTGCAGTTACAGTTTTGTTTGGGTTTTTATTCACTTGCTTTCCCATTTTTATTTTCTTCTTGTTCAAAACAGCCTAAAAAAATTACTGAATACCTTACTGAAATGGACCAAGGGGGAGGGAAGGGTAAAAGATATTTATTTTCCAGTTTTTATGATCCTTGGTGGCTCCTGTGCTCCTACCTGAAATGGTAGCCCCAAATATGTGAATCAATAAATGTTCACAGAGGAATCTAAGATTCTGGTTATTACACATACCAGTTCCTCATTAAATCTCATCAAGAATTTAAACCTCTGTTTAAATGGATAGGGAATAAGCACATCTATACAGTTATGACGACCAGTCTTTCACACGTAAATTTCTTATCTGCAAATTTTTTTTTCTAAAACAATTTAGTATTCAATACACAAGTCAATGGAGCATACTCAGACTGAAAAGAGAAAAAAAGAAAATTTCCTACACCCAACACAAGTTGAAACAAGAGTGTTATTTTTGGTTCTTTATGAATTTCTGTCAGAGCTGAAAAAAGCAGATGTTCATTTCATCCTCCTCCTCTGCCTTCATTTACATCTATCTGTCCTTTTAATAACAGTTCATAATTTTTGGTATTTGTTGGCAGCACAACAATTGAGGACAGAGTATCTCAGAGCAGTCTTGAGATAAAAATATATACTTAAAGTTTAAGTAGACTTACTTATTCAGAGGCTCATTGTTTTGGACATATTATTCAACCTAATTAATTTGGAAGATTCATGGAATTAACTTGTATGACATGCAAATCATTTGACATTCATATTTGAGTGATTATTTTATAATACCAAAATGACGGACAGGAAAAACAAATAATGCCATTTGTTGGTGAGCCAATAATTAGCAGTTGATATTTTCAACATACCCACTTTACAGCAGTAATTTTAAGAAAGGCACTCAACTGGTTCATCAACTTTGTTTTAAATTATAGTCTCTTGCAGACAGTGTCTTGGGAGTCAGAGCTAGATTACCAACAAGTAGCATTACATTGAGGTCATGGTTTTTTTTCCAAATCGCCATTCTTTTACAGAATGGGCCTCTTGGTTTTCAGCTATCAATCTTACACTAAGAAAACACAACATTTTCTCATGGCTGAAAAGAAGTCACTAGAATCTTGTTCCTACAGAGGAATCTGGGGAAGGCTTACGCCACCCAACACCTATTTGAGCACAACTATGGACTAGTCACTGGGAAGATACAAAGCAGTATTGGAAGTAGCTCTTGCCATCGCTAACCTTACAAATGCAATTCAACAAACAAGACATGAAAACAATTAAAAACGGGAGAATCTGTAGTGGATGAGGGGTCTATAAAAATCCTCAAGCCCCAGACAAATTAAAAGGGCCTCAATATTACATTATCTTTGAGAATGGGACAGAGCCCTAATATCTTAAATTCCTAATAGATACAAAGCTATACGGTCCATATAAACTCATACCTATAGATAATAAAGACACAAAATCATAGAATTTAAAATTTGGAAGGAGTCCTGTAGCTTGTAAACCATCTATGTTCATTCCAAGTCCAGCACTCTAATATATAATAAACACCTTCATCTCAAATCCATGTCGGAGACATTATTCAAAGAGGGCATAAAAGCTGAAACTCTAAGATGATGGTGCTTGTTATGGTAACTTTGGAGGGGGAATAGGAACCAGGGTTGTTTTTAATGGGAAGTGAACAATCAAGTCAGAGTTCTCCCTCTGGTCCTGGAAAGCTGTAGATGTGGGATCTCAGCCAACCCCGTCTCCCTGACCCATCGTGTACAACATGCTTAAGCATCATTTACAGAGGAGCCTGGCGTATGCCTTAAACTTCACAGTGTTAAAAAGGCTAATAATGTGTTCACCTAATTCAGGAAGGAAACTTCACTGGAACTGACCAGGGTCCTAAAGAATTACTGCTGGGGACAGGCCACTGTGTGCCTTCCATAAACCCATCGGTGAGAGGACTCTGGGCTTCCACACTTCCCTGCTTCATCTGCCCCCACGGGAGCTCTTGATGTGCGGTGCACATCCCTCTGTCACTTGGGCAGAGCTGTCTCTGTCAGTGGCCTCAGTTACAAAACACACCCTGACATCCATCCACAGCTTCCCTACCAAAAAACAGGGCTTCTTTTCGATTTTATAAAACAAAGGAGATTTTACAAAGGGATGGGTTGAGTTAGGGTGCTGAATGAAATTCTGATAGCAAGGACAATATAGGTTTGGGTTTTTTTGTGTCTTGTTTTTTAAAAGAGCAAATCCCTTCTTTAGAGAGTATACAAACACACACACACACACAGAGCAGTGGGTATTAAGCAGAAACATTATTCAGGTCTAAATGTGGTCTGAGCAACTTCACCCCAAATTACATTAAGATCATTTTAATTACTAGCTATTTCTTTTCCCTCCTCAAATCCCACCCCATAAAAATGACTCATTTGATTAAAATTCTGTTTCGACTATAAGAATATTTGCAGTGAGAGGACTAGAACTCAGCAGTGGACCAAAACCTTCAGCCTGTAATTCACCCCATTTTTAAAAGGAGTGGAGTGAATGAGGGTGTTTTTGGAATGTTTCCTCCTTCATTATGTTTATATTAAAGGAAACATGGTGATGCCTTGGTACATCATCTCCCAAATAAAAGACAGTATGAAGAGGGAATTGCATGTTATGGTGAGATACTTCTTACAGATGGCTTGAGTTAATAATGGACTTCAATCAAAGTGGACACTGAGGGAGTCCCCATGATCAGTCCGATGTTTATCAGCACACGACTTTGGCGACCAGACTCAGAGCCACAGTGCCTCCGAGTGCAAGCAACCTCCACTGAGGGCAGAAACTGGAGGCTACTGCTTCTAAAATATAAAAGCTTAAATTGATTTTTCTGCAGTCAGGTAGTCATAAAAGATTATTTCAGGGGGACAGGGGAAAATCCCCATAAAAGAATACCCTAAGTTTAAAAAGTTTTCAAAGTTTTGAATAGTATGTCTATATCTGGTTTTAGTTCTGGAAATAGGAAGTAAGAACAGCCTCATTAAAGGTGCAGAATGATTCTAAACCAAATCTAAAAATGAAGGTCAAGATCAGAAATGTAGTTTGTATGTTTTGTTTTTAAACCAAAAAGGTGCTGACACATAGCACAAATTCATAATGAAAAATGGTCTTGTTAAAAAAAAATTCCCCGGTATGTCAGCACAATAGTACATAATGTAACATTTTTTGCTATTTAAATGAAAACATTTAAAGAAGGGCAAGATAAATCAGTCAGATAAAAACTACATTTAGAAAGCCTTTTTTTCCTATTTCAACGGCTCATGGAACAAAGAACTAACTGAATAATGACAGTGTAAACATTTCATCAATCCTCAATGTTTCTTCTGCCCTAGAACTGGTTTGTGGCAATCGTGCCCTCAATGGCTCAACTCCACCATCCTGTTTCACCACCTAAAGGGAGCTGTCCTTTCCCAAAGTCCAAAAACAAAGGAGAGAGAAACAGAAAAATAGGTACAAATTCCAGAGTAAGCTTAAGACGTATTACATTCAAATATATTTCCTGGTTGCTTTTATGATTAGAAATTGAAGATTATCCCCTATTCAAGTGTTTTAGTTAAATAAAGTATGGGGGGGGCAAGGGCAACATACGTAACCTAAACATCTGTACCCCCATAATATGCTAAAATAAAAAAATAAAATAAAGTATGGATAAAGAGAATAAGAGAAACCTGACTTTCTAGGTTAATTTTGAAGAAGACTCTGTTTAGGACCACATGCACTGCCTCTTTTTTGGTTGCTTAACATAATGAAATAAGGAGTTATACATTCAGAGGAGAAAAAAATAGCTTAATAAAGGATCGGTCTGAAATATGTTAAGATGATAAATAAAACCACAGTGACACCAAGAGGGGCCAGTGTAGCATAATCTAGAAGTACTTGCTGGAGAAGTTAGAAGAACTTTGCTCCAAGTCCCGGGTCTGGTTTTACCCATATGCCTTTGGGTAAGTGACTATCTTTCTGAACCTTGAACTAAATGATCTAAGAGCATTACTTGACTTAGCCATAATTTTAAGCAGAATGACAAAAATTGAAAAACTTGAGCTTAAGAGCTGAACTGAGGATGAGAACATTATAGAATTAAAAGGCAAAGATGACCCATAGAATGGAGATCTTTATTTGAGTCCCAAAGGACTGGACAGGGCAACATGGCACAAATGAACCTTGGGAGCTGACTGATATATGTGGTCAAATCTGATATGGCAAAAAAACACACTACACCTTTTAAGGCCACAGCCAAACCTTAAATACCCAAACAAATCCTACATTAATTCCAAAGGCTACATTTTAAGAGACTTTCTATTGAAAAGAACATTATTTTCAGGAAGAGTTATAATTTAGGCCAACCTCTGAGGTTAGAGTTTTTGGTACTGTTCATGCACAACTACAATTTAAATTTTGCCTTTTATAAAATCTGCCTCCATTCTCCCAGCAGTGGAAAAAAAAAAAGATTGAGCAGAGTTGCTCTATTTAATTTTAGACAGCTGTGTCTCCCCCTTACCAAAAACATTGGACTCAGACACACAAACAGGAAAGAGACAAAGTGTTTCCCAAACAGGCTCCCAGATTCCTTCAAATACTGTTCCTTAGGGAAGGGGGAAAGTGATCTGACATGGCTGTAATGAATAGTCCCAGTAGCAAATTCTGGATTCCTACAGCAAATGATTGCCTTTTCACTACTTTCTGAAGGCAGTAATAGAACTGACAGCACTCTGTGGGAATGGTGGTGGTAGGAAGTCTGCTGAGGGCTTCATTCAACACAACCCAGCAATAGACTAGTGAGAGCAACTGCAGTAGCCAAATTCTCAAAACAAGAGGTGGTTCTGCAAGTTATTTCACAGCTAAACATCACGCCTAGCTATAATCTTTATATAAAAGGGTAAACACAAATCAGTTGCTCATTCCAAGTTTGGGTTTTCGGCCCCTTTGAAACAACAAAGAGTGTACCCACTTCAGAGGCCAGTAAGGAATCAGCCTGCCAGCCCCGCCAGAGCAAAGGAGCTGCCTCAGATAAACAGTGGTTAGCTCTGAAGTCATCCGGGCAGAGGACACTTTAACATGACCCTCTTCTCGGTTTATATACCAGCACTTCAGTTCATAAACACGTCAAGGTTTTGAGAATAATTTTAGAAACTCAGCTAATAAAGCTGGCTCGTTAAAAAGAATAAAGCCATCTAATTACTAAAGGGAGACAAAAGAAACATTAAAAACTTCTTTTCTAAGAAAAAGTTTTCTCCCTCAAAAGACATCGTACAACAGCGAGACTAGGGCCGGTGGGTCCAGAGCTTTCTCGAAGCTCTCTGACAATTTTATCCACCCCATGCTGCAAGCCAGCTTTTCTAAGACATATCAATTTGCCAAAAGATTTAACTGTTTACTAATTAGTATGAAACAGTTGAAGGCTGGAGGAAATGACAAGGGACTGACTTAGGGAAAGAGAAAGCCATGAAAGAAGAGAATGGAGAGATCAATTATTTACTGATACTTACAGATTCCCAGAGATTCTCAGAGATTTGGGAGCCCTCAAGGGCAAGTAGGGAGATTGGGCGCCAGGTGCCAATCTTCGTCAGCAATAAACCAGAGGCTTACCTCTTTGTTGTTTGTGGCGTATTTGAAAAGCAGATTCCTTGGTAAGGATGCCTCTGCCTGAACCGAAGTCCCTCCATCAGTGCCGGAATCCCAGGGGTGGTCGTTCACAATGTATGTACACTTTTCTTCAAACTCGGCCTCTGTCCACAGAGTCATATCCGCATCCTCCATGTCCATTTTCATGGTCCCCTCCGTCCCCTCTGCCAACCCTTGAAACCTCACAGCGCTGGAGCTACACTGGGGGCAGCCTGGAAGAGAAGGGAAAGGCCTTTAATCCCCATTGTCCTGCTGTTCCTGCGGCTCCCTCCAAGAGGCTATGACTAATACGGTAGTCTGAGGACTTTAAAAGCAGATGCAGAGTGCTTGGTACAGTTGAGTAAGAGCCAAAAAGCCGCATAAACTAAATTGCCTTTAAGAAGCAAAGTTTTTAAATGCTACTCTTAGTCCAAAAAAAAAAAAAATGGCAACCTCATTGGAGGGAAAAGAAAAAAGAAGCATCCCTGAACAATCCCTGGCTTTACCCTTCACGGCAGAAAAATGTTGTGGGCAAACAGTCCTGTGTCCCAGAACGCCTGGGGTCATGGCCGTCAGACCCTCAGCACTGTGGAAAAGCTGCCTCAGAAAAGTGTCACAAACAAGGAGAGGAAGAGGAAGGAGCTCTGTCTGCCTCTGAATGAAGCTAAAAATGGAAAGCGCGTGTGGTGCAGGAGCGGAACCCAGCCTGCCTTTTCCAAATGGGGAAGACTGAACTTTCCCACCAGCTCCCAACGCAAAACAACTTTCAAAACAACTGCCTCCCCCCTCTGCTGCATGCTCTCTTTCATCCTCTTACATGTAAGACCGAAAAGAGTTGCATCCTGCCAGCATCTGAGCTACAGCCTTTCAGAGATCATTTGGACCACAGGAAAGGAGGAAAAATTGGTGAAGGGGAAAACACGGTGCAGTTGCTTTTGACTTGTGGACACCTCACACCAAATTGAAAAAGCAAAAACAAAACATAAAACTGTTCAATAAAATTCCCTGGAGAGAATTCCTTTAGGAGCCCTCAGCTACAAATAGCACTTTCCATTTAAATCTGAAAGTGTACGAATTCCCAGAAGTCACTGATGTATTACAGTTTACTGTAACTAAAGTTGTAACAAATATAGAAGACTCAGAGGATAAACTCTGCTTCCACTTGCAAATTGAGAAGGATAACCCAGAAAATTCTCCTTCGCACTCAGAAAAAGTGTTTTCCAAAGGCAAAAGGGAAATAACTTTTGCAGTGTTTCCCCAAATAGACATGTTTGATAAAAATTAGGTGTATGGGTATCATTTCCATGTAGGAACGTGTACTTGTTAAAATGTAAACACAACACTCTGTGGAAATCCTTTAAGGTAGCTTTCACATTCCCCCACTTTTCTAAGTATGATGCTCTTTTGTAAAAAAGGTCAGATGCAAAGTTGTCTTTCTCCCAGTTATGATTTAAATAAACTTGCTTAATTTATTAAGTTCCAACATGCAGAGTCATGATGCCTGATACATGTTAAAATGAAATAAAATTGAAAACTTAAGCCAAGCCGGAATAGTTACTTTGATGGGTGTGAGCAGTAACCACTACTGAAATTTCAATGAATTGACAATTATGTCTAGAACTGAAAGGGTTAATGATTCATAAGGAAAAAGTCTTATAAATGTTTGACAGTACCAAGAACACTAAAGCAGAAGCGTTTCTGGTTTCTACTGCCACCACGTTAGCAAAAAAAGAAAAAAAAGAAAAAAAGAAAAAAGGAGAAGAAGAAGAAAAGAAAGTTTTCAGATCAATTTCAGAATAAAATCAAGTTCCTTACCAAGGTCGTACCCACACCTTTTTCCAAGCAAATATCCAACATCTGAAACGAGTCTCGCTCATGTCTACCCAGTCCCCATTCCCCGCGTCCCCTGGCCGGGCTGAGCAGCACTGACGCGCACCTCGCGGTCCCTCCTTCTCCGCGGACTGCCGCCCGGGCGCCGCGTCCCGGCTCTCCGCGGACAGGTGCCGCGCGCTGCTCTTGCGTCTCCGCAACACTGGAGGGCCGAGTGTCACGGCAGCACTCACCAGACCGCGGCTTTTTCCTCCTCCCTGCTGCGATTTCATTAGCCACTCAGCCGCCCGAAGTGGGGGCGTGGCGTGGCCACACCTGCGAGCCGCGCTCAGGGCTTTCCCCCAGATCGCGAGCCGCCGAGAGCTTCCTCTCTTCGCCTGTGAATTTCAACATTTGCTTGGAATCGTCTCACTTCCCTTTGAAGGCACTTACCCTCAACGTCTGCTTGGGCTGTATTGTATTCTAATACTCCAGATCGCCCTCCTTCCTGACGGCGGCAGAATCAGGGGGCGCACGTTCCTTCAATGAAGGAAACTTGAAAATTACCTGAACACTTTGTAGTTTCTCAGCTCAAATCTCCAGTTACAGAATACACAGAACTTACTTGAAAAGAACACGTTAAATTGCTTTTGCATCGAATGTAATACAATGGAGCTGTCTAGTCCACATGCTATGGCATATGAAATACACGTTTCCCCCCAAAATGGGTAAGTTTACATTTCTCCTGCTAACTGAAATATATTCAAATTTGGCAGAACTAACTTTCCTCTTTCAACTATTTAGCAAACAGGGAAACAGAAAAAAAGTTATAATCCTACAGATTAATTTTTGTTTTCCTTTCCTCTCCTCCCAAAGCCCACAGGCAAACTCCCCAGGAGTGTAAGTAAAATGTAGAGCATTAATCGCTTCACAGTTAAGGGGAGTATTGAGCTGATCACTGCAAGTGGACAGCAGTCGGAGGCAGTAATTAGTGGAGCTCGTTCTGAGCCCGGGCCAGCTTTTCCTCCAGCCCTAGTCAGTCCTCTGTTGAAGGAAGGACATCCTGTGATGATGGCATACAATGTCCTGTTTGTTTATTATTAAGAGCGTGGACCTTGCATTCCTGCTTCTCATTACAAAACAAACCAGATGCTTTACTTCCTTCAATGGTCTGTGCCTTCAGCAAGGAGTCTTTTAATTCAGAGAAACAATGATGCAAAGGGTCCGTTTATAGCAAACACCCTATTTCAATTACTACTTAGATCACTGAAATACAAGTCTTCCACTTTTCCTGCTTGCCTCACCATAGGTAGTTTTTTTTTTATCTCTCCTTCGACCTTAGGCTGCAACGTCTTTTCTAACATCTTAAATACACGTGTGCATACACACACCCCCACACACCCCACATGCACACGCCCAGTCTCAACCTAATGATAACTGACTTAGTCATACAATGAAATGGACATTTGAATATTTGTTTACAAGAAGAAATGAAACAAAGCAAAACAAAAATCCAACTCAATTCTAAAAATGTCTGTTTATATTTAAAATGTCTTTTCCCTCTTTTAGAAAATTTCTAGGATTTTTTTGGGGGGAGGGGAGGACACAGTTTTTGTGTCTAAAGTCCTTCTACACTCTCTGTAGTACAGAACAAATAAATTCCCACTAGGGGACATAAGTAGCACATACTCCCTGCTTGCTGCATGGGCCAGCTGTTATTGCTATGTTATGCCAGAGGGGACGCTAGCACCAAGAGGAAACAGGACTTTCAGAAGGCAGATATGCTAGGGGTATAAAACTGAATGAACAATTCCTAAGAGTTCTCAGAAAGCTCCAAGATGATAATTAAATAAGAGAAAATCAGCCTTCTCGAGAGGGTTTATTAACTGATGCTGAGTCAGCGCCGCAATGGACAGAAAAACAATGTAGTCATACTGAAGGCTGGCCTGCTGTTCCAACAGTCTCACTTGCAGATGTTAGAATATTTCACTTCCCTTTTAGAATCAAACTCTGTTCTGAGGCCACATATGCCATCATGCAAGCACTGGTGAGTCAGCCATGATGGAGTGAGGGAATAGGCAAAAAGTTTGATATTTGAGGTGGGAAGAGAGCTATTTTAAGCCAAATATTTGTTTTAATGACTGGAAGATGCCAGTGAATCAACTCATTGTTAATTAATATCAGCCTGCACTCACCTTCAGAGGTGGCAAAATGGGCTTGAGTCTAAGGAGGACGCAAACTTCAAATACCAGTGTGGGGCTTAGGCAGGCAACCCTGAAATTAGTTCCAGGTGCTCCAGCTGAGCTGGACAGGGCCACGGGTGGAACTTCAGGAAAGTAAATTTTGAGACACAGAGTGTTAGAATAGGAAATCCTTCAAATGTTTGCTTCTTGTCTCAAAATGATAGGAAAAAACCTCCAAACCAACTTCTGACTATGATTATAGCAGTCAAGGTTGGGCAATAATATCATTTAAAATGAAAGACACAAAAAAGAAAGAAGGAGTAAAATAAAGGAAGTATGTTCCATATTAGGAAAAGACCTGTTCATATTGTAATATTCAGGTATTGTCCAGCACAAAACGGCCGAGGAGGAAGAAAAGGGACTGACTTCCCAACTTCACTCCGTCCTTCCAGAAGACCCGAGCAGTGCCCATTTTTAATGCTACCTAAAGCTGGGAGACACTGGCAGTGATACAGCTGTGCAGAGACAGCTATCTGAGGCTGCCGCTGTCTGGAATCTTCTGTCTCAAAATGTTTGTTTTTAAGTAATAACTTGGTGCATTTTTAGTCACTATATTATTTCCCTCTCTGTTAGAACGCCAAAAGGAGCCTCAGTTATCTTTATTAATCAGCATTTCTCAGGCAGAGTTCTCTCATGAAGAGTGTTCACGATGGCAGCAAAGCACGAACGATCCAAACAGATCTGTTCTCAGAAATCCTCGTCTGTCCCCTTTGATGGCACCATCACAACAGCTCAGCAAACCGATGTTAATTTGGTCTCAGCTACTGGGCCCGTTTTTTTCTCTCTCAGTCCTTGGGTGGGTTGGGAATTGCAGTGTAGGGACCAGATGACTCTATAGGGAAAGGACTATTGTAGAATAAAGGGAAATTAAGTACCAAATCTGGAGACCTGAACTCCACTTGGGAAAAAAAATTTTTTTCCCTAAGGAAAGTAAAAAATGGGATGAAAAGTACCCAAGATGAAGCATGTTTTCATTTTCTAATTCAACTCCTGCTATGCCCAAACAAGGTCAATGACAGGCTAACCACATCAAGAGAACACCCCCCCACCCTCTTCTCCCCACTCCCTAGTCACCCACCCACTCTCACCCCCACACCCATTTCCCACTTCCTGTTAAGTAGGCATCTTCATGCTGGTAAACATTTGGGGACCAACTGTAAGCCCGACCCTAAAAGAGGGGCGCTGAGGCTTTGAAGCCCTCCCACATGTCTCAAAGCCAGGCTAAGAACCAGAGGGACACTTGGTTTTTAAACTTTAACAGCCTTTTCAACTCAAATCACTGAGCTTGGCTTTCTGGCTGCCTTCCTTCTAAAACGCTGGACAAGAAGAACAAGTGTGTGTGTATGAGTGAGAGAGAATCTGTGTATGACACATGCTATGTTACAATGCAGCGTGTGTGTCACTGGTATGAGATGTGTATGATAAGTTTCAATGATGTGTTAAATCAATTTAAAAATAGCATAAGCTTCCTTCTCATGACTCAGCTCACCTCCCCAAAACTTCTGACAAACATATTCAGGGCCTAAACTTTGGGATGGTGATGTTCGGGGCTGTCGGATGTTTTGAAATGAGGTCAGCGTTTTGACTTCTTACATAAGGGAAACAAAAATTAAACTGAAGAACCAAGGCAGAGCTCCCTTCCCTCCCTAGGAATGAAGATATGAGAAGTGCTACCCAGAGGTCTTCATAAAACCCACATGATGTCTGAGGCCACAGAATATTTACAGAGTCATTACACCTAAGTATCTTTGTTATTTAGCCCTCCCTTCAGACAGACGGTTGTGCTATTATCTAATCATTTATATATTTTTAAATTATTCATTTAGTTCGACATCCATAAACTTAATAAATAACAATAGCAATAATAATCACTTCCATATGATTTGTGGGAAAACGAAGGTGGGTTGCCAATATTTGTTTTCCCCCTAATTATGTTTTTATTATAGTGAATATTCAGACATGAGAGGGATTTTAATTTCTGAAAAGTCTGTGGGAAAGGACAGGGGGACAGAGATCATTTCTGAGCCCAGAAGACATTGCCTAATCTTACAATTGGTAGGAAAAAGGAATAAACCTTAAACTAACAGAAGGCAAAACAGACTGCAAGAGAGACAGAGAGCAACAGGAAAGGCGTTCATTCTGAAACTCTTTCTCTTTTCTCTTCTCTTCATTTGGAGGAGAAGAAAAGTAGCTTCCACACAAATGAGAAAGCAAGACCCTGGGCCCAATGTTTGCTATTCTCACCTTGTGGTGGGAGGAGAGGCCACTGGAAGAGGGGAGGACCCAAGGCGGAAATAGAGAAGGAAGGTGGGAGATAGGAGGTTTTCCTAGAGAAAGATTAAAGAGGGGCCAGTCGGCTTAAAAATAAAGGTGAAAGGAGGCTCAGAAGGAGCAGCAGAAACCCTAGTGGAAGGGCCGGTGTAGGACGGAGCAGTCCCCAAAGAACAGGAAACAGGGCCCCAGGTGTGCCTGCCACAGTGTACTTCCCTGAAACCACAGAATATGAACCAAAGGATGAAGATGCTTTATTAAGAATGGGATTGATGATTTCTTCTTGTTTTTTTCCAAAGGGAGATTAAGGACTATTAAGGCTTGATTTTTATGTGCCAGAGTGAGTTAGGAGAGAAGAGACAGAATTATAAAAGCTAATAATGAAATCACTTGAATTGTCCGCCCCCCGCCCTCAAATTCTGCTCCAAAGGGAAGTTAGTATCCGACCTTTAGAGTTGAGGACCGTAGATCCAGTCCAACACCTCATGTTCTTGCTGAGGAAACTGAGGACCAGAAGTCAGGAAACAGAAAGGGCATCTCTCCCAGACCTCCTTTTGGTGACTAGGTCTTACAGACGACTGCGCACATCTGGAGATGTCAGCCCACAGACAGGGCTGCTGCTCAGACAGTGCAAACGCAGCCAAAGGACCAGTGTTCTGTACTGGATCCCCAGGTATTATTAAGCACCTACTGGGCCTAAGGTACAGGTGGGCTAGGAAAGGTGAGGGAAGGGTGCA